AGATCAGAAATACTTCTATGCTTTAAATTTTGAAGGAAGATGATGTGAGGTTGAATGTGAATGATGAGACAGTTGTCAGTCAAAAAGCTGCATCACAAGTATTCTGCATGAAACACTACTGGCTCCTCCAGGAGCAAACTGACACTGAGAACACAAAGTAAAAAAAGATATGGGGTTTCCAAGTGGGGAAGAGGATACCCAGGAAAAGTAAAGTCTGAAAGCCCAAGTCTTCTCACAGGAGCCCAAGGACACTCCTGCAAAGTCCTCCCCATGGTGACTCAGCTCTTAGGAATTTGTAGAAACTTAACTTCCTGAGACCTTGAAACTAACGTTTGCTCCCATTTCTGTAAAAGCCAGCAGCCGCCTTCTCCAGCTCCATTCAAATTGACCACTGAGAAGGGTATCCTTGGAAAGGAACCCTTGGCTGGAGAAGAAAGGGAAAGTTCAGAGCCAGCAGGGGAGCTTGGCTATTCTTGGACTTTAGGCAGCTGCGGCTCTGCCGGGTGAAATACAGCCCTTCCTCATTTCAACACAGATGTTCGGGTGTTTCTTTGTCTTTATTGGGCCTTGTTTTCCTGCAACACTATGAACTCGACTGCTTTAGGTGCCTCATGTAAGTGGAAATGTACAGCATTTGTCTTTTCATGATGATTTATTTCAATCCGCATATTGTCCGCAAGGTTTATCCATGTTGTAGCAGGTGTCAGAATTTCCTTCCTCTGTAAGGTTGAAACATATCTCACATTGTGTGTCTATGCAACATTTTGTTTACCCATTCATCTATCAGTGTGCACTTGGGTTGTTTCCACCTTTTGGCCATTGTGCATAACATTGCTACAAATATGGGTATGAGTGCATACACATTTTGCAACTGGTTTTATTCACTCAGTGTAGTTTAATATTCAAACATATTGTTTTATATATACAGAGTTTATTCATTGTTATTGCTGGGTGGTATTCTATTCTGTGAATGTACCAGTTTGTTTATCTATCCATCAGTTGTTGGATGTTTGGGCCACTTCCAGCTTTGAAGATTATGCTACAATGCTTTAAAACTAGAACACTTACCTAGTGTGAAAGATCTCTATAAAGACAACTATGAAACTTTAAGAAAAGAAATAGCTGAAAATGTTAACAAATGGAAAAATATACCATGCTCATGGCTGGAAAGAATCAACATGTTAAAATGTCCATACTACTGTTATACCTGAAAATTATTCTCCCAAACAGCCCCAACAGACAAATCCGAGACACACTCCGATGTAAAAGGCATGAGGTGAGGTTTTATTCAAACCCGGGTTTGGACTCTCCTAGTGTACACACCAAGGAAGAGCCTCGAACCCCAGGTGGAGCAAGTTTTTATGGGGTACAGAAGCAAGAAGGGAAGAAGGGTACGAGTACACCTTTGATTGGTGGTTAGTGATTTCACTAGTAAAGTTACAGTCTTGATTGGGGGTCAATGATTTCACCAGTAAAGAAGGATTTGGATTGGTACAGGTGAGGGGTGGGAGATTTCTTAACCAGGGCTAGGGTTGGTGCTGCCTGATTACCTGTATTTCAAGGTAATAGAAACTTATTGTTTATTATAGCAGCTGTTTGCCTAAGGTGACTCAGTTTACAGCTCAGTGGCTGTGCAACCTGGGTTGGGGGAGAGGCAGCAGGGAGTGGCCCTGCAGGTTTCACTGGCAGAGGTTGGGGCAGAAGGGTTAGGAATGGAACTTATACGGTAAGCAGCCAGGAATGCGGCTTGTGCTGTAAACAGCCAAGAATGGAGCTTGTGCTGTAAACAACAAAATGGAGCTAGTTTGGCTCTCACATTCCCCCCTTTCTCTTGTGACTGATGCTCAATCCTGACCTCCACCTTTTACCGTATGTTCGGGGGCATATTGGGAACAGAGGACTAATAGTTGAACAGCATTAATTCT